GTGCCCACCACAGCTTTTTAAGAATTAAACTTGTGTTTCTGCACCACAGCAGACATGAAGGAACAAGATCAAATGTAAACACTGATTGAAACAAGTATGGCAGATAGTGATTTAGTCTGTCCTGATTGCAAAACTTCAGAATAGATAGATAACATGTAGCATCCATATTTACGTCTGTAAACAGGGCGCTGTGTGTGACATCATCCATCTTCTGTGCATCACATCAGGACCAAGCCTGGTAACACTGAAAACAGATGTGGTGGTCGCATTCAAATTATAAAAAGAACAATAATGCCAAAACATCAGTTTAAAAAAAGAAAGAAAAAACAAAAAACAAAATAAAGCATTAAGACATGCAGTAGTCTTATACAAAGATGAGCTGTCCCATGCTTTTTAGTTTGTTTTTAATTAAACCTTGCTTGCACATGTATTTGTAAGGGTATTAAATGCTAGAATTCTAAAATAGATAATTTGTGAATTGTTTAAATACGCAATTTATCTGTTCCTCGAGGCACCACTAAAGTTTTTTTTATAATAAAACTTCAGAAAAACTTTCTTTTAATATTCAATCTCTAAATATGAAGGCGTTTATTCTTTCAGTTTAATGACGGTGTGAGGCAAGGAAATACACGTCGGAGACAAATCACGTTTGGAAATTCATCTGTGTATTATTTAAAATGAGGTTCAGAGGGAAATATACAGTATGCAATACAAATCATTTCTCAGACAAAACACACTTATAATCAGTTCCATAAACTTAATCAAGAAGTGATYTAATTAATCTGGCATGATTACCATGTGAATGCTTTCTACACATATTTCAGTAGGACACTACTCGCTATTCCTAAGCCTACCGCTAGAGGGAGCTCAAGGGAAGAAGAATGAACATTGATTATACTCTGATATGACTTAAATCTTTGAACACACCATCAGATTAATTAAGCAAGATGTTTCCTACCGGCAAAGTTGTAGACGCCAGAATGGATACTTCTATGCTAATTGGGTGGCACATGAAGTCCAACCGAGTCTTAGCTGTGCAGAAGTTCCCTGGTCATCTGGTTTGCCGGCTGCATTCACTGGAGATGTCCAGCACACCGTGTCGGCTGCGTTCCTTGCGAGCACACTGAGGTCGTCCGACTTGAATTAAATCAGCCTCATCGTTTCAATCAATTTAAATCTCCTTCCTGAAAGCTCCTTAAGATTAACTATAAAAAAGTATAAAGTGGAAAAGAATGGCCTCGCCCCGGGATGGGGGAAGCTGGAGCTAAAAAAAACTACTGCTTCCTCCTCAAACGCTTCTTCGAACTCCACACATGGCAGAACAATGAAAATACTCCCTGTTCACAACGGAACTTCTCATTGGTTAAGACTTTCTGCGGTGGTCACATGACACCATCCGGACATGTAACAGAAGAACAGAGTAATAGATAATCAACCAGATCAAGTTACTTAAACAATGTCATGATTATTACAGTAATTAAATCAGAGTACCAAGATATTATTTTGACACTTCACAGATGCTTTTTATAGTTATAAACAGAAAACCTGGGTGAAAATAAAATATTTTCAGGGTTAGTAGATAAAACGTCCACAGGGTGGCGTTGCTGACCCACAGATAAATCTGATGGGAGTCTTTTGATGTCAAACAATGTTTATTCCAGCCTTATCCTGAAAGAGGTGATAAACAATTTAACTGGCGACAGGAAGTCTAGCCTTTGTTCTAAGGCCTAAGGGTGAAGTATCAGATGAATTAACAGGAGTCATTAATCAAACTTTGAGATGTTGCAGGCAGGATGAAAAAGGTGGAGTTAACAGGACTGTCTCTTGAGAAGATATTCACGTTTCCACTACATATTTAATGCTTTGATTTTGCACAGCCATTAGAAAACAATCCAAAACTTCGTAATATCTCTTTCTAGAGTTCCATGTGGAGGTCCACGAGGAGCCACTGACAGGCAAGAGAAAAGAAAAGTGGCAGAGGAAGAAGGTAGTTCCAGGGGATTTCAACCACCTACAGCTAATCCTCCAGCCCTTCTGCACCTACCGTTTCCGAGTGGTCGCTGTTAACGACATTGGAAGGAGTGACCCCAGCGAACCTACAAAGGACCACAGCACACAACAAGATGGTGAGTTGTGACATCCACTGTAACACAGCACATTGGGGTGGAGGGGGCACACAGTCATAAAGGTGGATGCAGTTTTCTGTCAGAATACATGGGGGTGTTTTAAAAACAAAACAACTGGAATTCTGTTCTGTAGTCAAAATCATTGGGCCTCATTCAAGAACTGTTCATACGCACAGATATGTTCTTAAGTTGTGCGTACGAGTGATTTAGGAG